ACTTCATCCCCCCTTGTTTACCGTGTCTGTTTACAGCTGGATGGGTGAGAGTGCTTCAGCGCGGCGGCAACCTTCATCTCGCCATTACCGCCCCGCTTTATATTGTTGCCAAAATCACAGGTGACAGGCCACTTTTCCCGGGCGCTCGGCAACAAACCCTCCCTCCCAGGGCACCCTGCGGGCAGAGTCATTTGACGGCGATAGCACCCGACACATACAGGTTTCATGTATTCAGAGTATGAGACGGTGGAGGGAGAAAAGAAGGCAGTGAAAAGCTACCGTTGTCGCTATTAAGTGTCAAGGTCACCTTCACCCCGAGGCACAGCCCTCGAACACACAAAACACGCACACACACACACACACACACACACACACACACACACACACACACACATTCGTATGCTGCAACTAGCATGGTTAGGGAAGTTGATGGATCAAGTCATGATAGAGTGAGTGTATGTAAAATAAAAACGAGTATGATATAGTAGGAACGAACGACTCACAAACAGTGTCTAAATTCTGCATTGTGTTGTAATCACTGTGCGGGCCCCTCAGGATTGTGTCTCACCTTTATTTTTACTCAGCAGACGGCATTAAAGCGCGGCATTGTGGGACAATGGAGTGTCTGAGCGTGTCAGCCGAACACCTGCCGAGAGCTCCACCAGGATAACTCGGGAGCCTAATTATCAAGCAATTTGAAACGGCATTCTGTTGCCTCTGCCATTGTTTTAATTAGGGGGCGTTGGCTTTCAGAGGTCAAACCAAATGAGCTTTTAACTACTGTCATTCCAGGAGAAGATTTCTTTTCTTAGTGAAGGCATGCCGTCCTGAAGCAACGACAGGATCACGGGCAGCTCGCCAAAGACGACAACATATAGCGGGAAGAAAGTTTAGCATGCAAATGGAACCCAAGGAATATTTAAAAGGTGTAGGATGTTTTTACCCACCTTTCTATATTTCTTTCTGTGTCCCCCCCCACACGCTTACTCAAAGGGTAATCCTACGGCAGGAAGGAGGCAGGCAGGAAGCAAGAAAGCAAGGAAGGAATGAGCTAACGAGGAAAAATGATGGATGAACAAAAGGAGGAAGGTAGAGAGGAAGGTGACCAAAAGAACGAAAGAAAGGGAGTACAGAAAGGAAGCAAGGTTGCATGACAGCAAGAGATTAAAAACTGCAAGAAGGCACAGTGGAGTGGAATGATGACGTGCGAGAGATAGATCTGAGGGGAAGGAAGCATAATGTCAGGATGAGCAGAGAACAACTTGAATTACAAAAAGATGGACAAATAAATGAATGAATGTCTGAATGGCGGGCAGAAAGGGCAGAGGCATGGCAGGAGGGATAGAAGCAGGATAGGAACTAGGTTGATGTACATTTGAAAAGACAGAATTTATGATGTATTCAACTCTGTAAAAAAAAAAAAAAGGGGTCATTACCTGCTTCTAGTTAAAAAGTATTAAGATAATGAGGAATGAGGCAAGCAGGAAGGAAGGAGGGAAGGAAGAAGGGAAGGAAGGAGGGGAGAGATGAGAAAAATTGCAGTACATTAATAGTGGTTGAAACATTTCACTCAAAATGGTGCCGATACAAGATCACCAAAATCATTAGGATTCATCTTCTGGGGACAATGAATGTCTACACAATTGCATGACAATCCATTCTGTAGTTTTTGAGACTTTTTAGTCCGGACCAAATTGGTAGACTGATCAACAGACCGACCAACATCTCCAGAGCCACACCACTAGCGTGGCTAAAAAAGTTAGATGCACCTATGAATACATTTCTGAATGATGTGCAGAGACATGGCAGGGAATAAGGAAGGAGGAAGACAATATGAAAAGCCTTAGGAAGGGAATTGAGGAAACATGATGACGAGATGGGATTAATGAAGGCAATATGGGTTTTAGGAAAAGGGCAAAAAATAATTGGCAACGCTCAGAAAAAGGAGAAGAATGTCAGGATAGATGGATAAAATGATTATAATAGATAAAATAATGTGGAAAAAGGTGGGAACAGAGAAAAGAAAAGACAGAAATGAAAGAAAAAAGTAATGGAAGAAGAAAGGATGGAAAGAAGTGAGGAACAAAGCAATGTTGGTGGGATAGTTGAATCAACGAGGACAGAAAAGAGACAGATTAAGGTAGGGCTGCGCAATATATCGATATTATATCAATATCATGATATGAGACTAGATATAGTCTTGGATTTTGTACCTTGTAATATGGCAGACGAGTTGTAAAGGCTACGTTACAGTGAACGGACCCAATACTTTTCTAGCTGTTCCGTTGCCTTTACCCACATTTGTCAGTTAATTATTAAAAATACAATTGTGTAAATATTTTTGTGAAAGCACCAATGGTCAACCTTATTACATCGTCACAATATCGATATTGAGGCAGTTGGTTTTACTGATGGAAGGAAGGCAAAGCAGAGCAACTGTACTGGAAGATTATTCTGAACCAAACTGTTTGCGTCTTCAAACTTTGCACTTGAAACTAAAAGGCACCCTCCAAATGTATCGATTGCGAGAGAAGCTCGGAGAAAACAAGACGTTGTCATGGAAAAAGTTAGATTCAGCGGGTACGTTGTTTATTGCAACTTTTTTTAAATCTGCTTCCTCTTCGCTCAATTTCTGGAGACAGCCAAGGTAATTCAAATCGATTCCAAGTCCTTCAATTACAGACACACTGACAACAGTTTGGAGAGCGGGAAATGGATTTTTCTGCTCATCTGCGGGCCAAGGCCAAATCTGAGGACCTCAACGGCAGCCGACAGCCTCGACGACTCCTTCACTCTTGATGTTTTACTCACTCGGTTACTGTGCTGCTTCTCGCCCATAAAACCTGCCAGCGACTATTTTTTATGATTTCGGGCTGGTAGTGAGACAATAACAGCTTTAGAGACCTGCTCTCTCAATTTATATATTTATGTCACTAAGAAGAAGAAAAACATTGGGAACAAAATGTTCACCGTCTTTACACAAAGAACTTACGAATGCACAGATGATCACACTGCACACAAGAATGGAAACATCAATATGCTGACACCGACAGACATACAGGGCAGAATCAATCGATCCACACACACACACACACACACACACACACACACACACACACACACACCCGTTATCTCTTCGCTGTCTGGTCGACAGATGCACAGGCAGAAAATTGTAAATATTGAGCAACCCCATGTCCCTGAAAGATGAAGTACAATAGCCGGAGGCAATTCATGCTGCTATTGCTTTATTATGAACTAATATGTTCACAGTTGTTGCTTCCGAATGACTCAATAAATATCCAATACTTCCTGAGAGACAGCCTTGACCCTGTTGAAAGAATGCGCTTCACGAGCGCCGGCTCTCACAACACGCTTAAACACTGACGGCAGCTTCATAAAGTGGCAATTACCATTTTGACATCAATACAGAACCACATAGAAAAAAAAACAAAAAAAAAAACTGCCACGTTTTGAGAAACCAAAATAGACAATTACAGAGACAAATAAAGTGGGCCACTAAGGGTGGAAAATAAAACTCCCCGGGCATATTAATGCAGCTTAATTAAAGGAAAGCCCGCCCAAAGGGTCGTTTAAAACAACACCGCCCCCCCTACGCTCACCTCCAGAGGTATTAGCAGAGTTAAAGGCAGCGGGCTACATGATAGATATCCTCAGGTTGACCTCCAAAGCTTCTTTCCCCCTCATCTATATTTATATGAAGGAGCGGCACTAATTTTGCCAAGTAAATCACATTGTGTGCACATTCCGTTGTGACCTCCAGCTTGACAGGAGGTCACTCGAATTAAACAATATCAGGGCCCCGAGAAGCCCGCTTTAACAAGCCTCTAAATTCCTCCGTCCAATCCATCAGCGGGGATATTTCTGACACACGGAGGGATGAGCATGAAATAAGGCAATTATTGAACCCTTCAGCCCATTTCTACGGCTTGTTGGAACGGTGCAGCACAGAGCCACACACACCTCTGAATTTGTGTCTCGAGATGAGTCTTGGTGATAGGGACTCTGAAAATGAGTAAATAAGAAATTAATTATAATAGTAAGTCAACAATTTCACTCAATACCCCCTCTCCACTTTGTATCAAGGTTGGCAGTTAATACACAGCATGTCACTTCTAACTATGTGGAAAGCAAAGATGTCGAGTAACCGCCACCATTACCAAAGGGGCCGACATCTGGAGTCCTCTCGACTGTGCCCGATAAAAACAAACCTAGTTGCTCGTGTTTTAAAGGCGAGCTCCAGTTTGAGACTGTTTTCTCGGAGCGTTCTTGTCAAAGAAAACCTCCTGGTGCATTCAGGAGGGGGGGGGGGGGGAATGCAGTGTGTGTGTCTTTCATGGAGGTGGCAGTCGATCCTGTGTGTCTGAGCGTCCTCTCAGATTGCCTGACAGATAATCCATCACACAGTCACTGTGTCTGACAGGAATAGGTCTCAGTCAAATCTCAGTCTCTCTGTTCTGCTCACACAGGGCCTATGAAGGACAGGCTCTCCTCTCAAGTCTCTCTTGGGACAACCGACACTTGAGTTTCATTAAAGGACGGAAGGTGTGTGATTTCAGGAATTTAAGTGTGTGTGTGTGTGTCCACAGATGAAAGAGCAAGGCAGAGTGGAAGATGGTGTAAAATACATATCGTCATCATCGTCAAACTTTTTACACTACTGCAGATGAATCCAAAATCTATGTATTTCAGTGTCAATAAAATGAACTTTTGTAGGAATTGGTGTAATTTTGTCCTTGCATTTTCTTTGATAAATCGTTTTTAAGCCGGCAATAACTATTGATACGTTGTCACAACATACAAGGCTGTTCAACACAAATTACAACTGATAACAGCGACCAAACCGATGACATTTCATTTATTTTGCTCTCTCCTGTAAAAGTCAGTATCAGTAGTTTGATTATGACGGCTTCCTTACTTTCCATCTGCTTCTGTCTTTACCGAGACTCTAATGTGAGGTGAACAAACAAACCAGACACTAGTTTCGAAATATTTCTTTTAATCTCTCAAATGATGTACACAGTTTTGCCACTGTCTTCAAGGTATCCTGTCAATATACATTTATGATTATACAAAAAAGCACAGTTCTATTCTTTAGTTTTCTCAACACCTCTGTGTGAATGTACTGCTCGTACCGAAAGAGTTGGCGGGACAGTTTACAAAACCCTTTAGCCTTCATGAAAGAGGCACAGATTTAAGCAGTTAACACACTGTTGGCCCGAGAGCACTTCACATTGAAGACATGCTGTATAACATTCACAGCGTGGGTACTTCCTCCACCTCATGTGATCCACACAGATAAGGCGTTGGATGGATTCATGGATTTGTTTGTCACTAAGAAAACAGATCGACTGATCCAAAGTCGAGATGTGCTCGCTGTGATGCTGCCTTTTCTTTACAGCTGTTTTAGAGATTTCACAAGAACAGGCGGTATTCAGTTGTACTGTACCTTTAAAAAACGATGGCGCTGAAAATCCCTCTGAACTATTGTTCCACACAAATGCCACACAATGTGGAGAGAGCGCGCGGCGTCTATGGAATGCACAAAGTGTTAGATCTCTTTCAATAAAGCTTTATGATATTCCAGAACAAGATTATGTCGGCAAGCCTGAGTTATTTAAAGATTTAAAAAAAAAAAAAAAAAAAGAGTAAAATCTGCTAAATCTGTAAACCTGCGATAAAGACAGAGTTGGCAGTCACAGTATTATTATGAAGCTGGTGTTAAAACTAAAAACCAGTAAAGGAAGATGAGAACAAAGGCTTGAGGTCCTGGAGGTCTGCATGTGTAAGAAAAAGGCTGACGGTGATGTATGTTGGCGACCGAGAGTGGAGAAGTTACACTGAGAAGTTTTCTATTTCTTGATGGCGGCCACTGCTTTCCTGGCAGCGTCATCCAGGTTCTCTGCTGCTGTGATGGGCAGGCCGCTGTCGGACAGAATCCTCTTGGCCTCATTGACGTTGGTCCCTAGAAGACGCAGAAAACCACCGTTACAACAGGCGACAACAATACCGACAAAAAAAAGAAAAAAAAGAAAAGGGGGCTTAACAAGGTTGAACCCGGCGTGCCATCTGCACCGATGTAAAAACCACACTGTGTGAAAGACAAAGAGGTCCTTTGGAGGAATCAATGCACATGATGACAGATGGATGGAGTTATGGGTGAACGGTGGTAGCTTTGTCTGTGAACACCGTCAGCGAAGCAAGAGGACAATTTGTTTGTGTGTCTGTGTGTGTGTTCCGCCGGCTGCAGCGAGGTCATGTGTAGCAGGTGCTGGGTGATACGGTGGCGTCCATGCCCCGGTAGACCCGAAACCAACCAGACACGGAGATGGAGAGACACCCGGAGACGCTCTTCAGAGCCCCACGGCTCTACACACACGGAACTGGCTGCCTCCCAGCGCCGCACACTGCGCAGCCAAACACGAGCCCGACAAGCCTGTCACAACACAGAGCAGGGGGCACCGCGGTGGACGGAAGGACACGGAGAGGGAGAGGACAATGCTGAAAAGAGGGAGCGAGTGAGGGCATTGGAGCAAAAGGTCAAATGAAGCAGAATCGCCGACGCTGCTAAAACAACAAAAGCCAGCTGTTGATGTGGCATTTACTGATTTCTGTCTGATCTGGTATCAACTATTCTCTACTCCGGCTGCTCTCAGAAGAAAACACATCCGACACACACATTTTTTGATTGTTATTTTTATTTCAGTTCTTATTTAAAAAATATCTTTTTATCTGTAATTACTTCGGTCTTTATCTATCTGCAACACCTGAATACCTCCAGGGGATCCATAAAGACATCTTGCTTCAAATAGTCCTTTGGTTATCATATACTGCACCAAGGGAAACAGTATTGTGTAATCTGATTACTGTGTGCTGTGTGTATCATATAAACCACTTTTCACCACACAAGCACCCTTTTTCAAAACTATAATCTAGTTAGCGCCTCTCTTAGATATTGATCATTATTATGGCCTACATGTATGCTGCAAGAATTAGTCGATTGACAGAACATTTACAATTAACCATTTTGATGATCAGTTGATTGTTTACGATTAAAATACAAAATGAATCTGCAGTTGCATCCCTAATAATAATAATAAATAGTTGCAGTCTTACATACATGTATAGTATTTACTGTATGTGTACTCTGGACAATTCTGTGATGTGGCGCTGTGTGTGTGTGTGCATGCTCAGACGCTTACAGGTTGACCTTAGCTCTCCTGGCTGGCGTGTAATTAAGACTGCATGATATGTGAATTCTCTGGAGGCCCGGCCACCCTGATCAATACACCTTTCATGAAGAATTCTATTACCGGCGCCACTTAACGCCTAATATTTCATCTCTTTTGTCCAAGCTAGATAATAAGTCATTCCAAACACTTTTTTTTTTTTTTGCAGGCCCACTCTTAACAATCAATTCTGAGATGTTATTAATTAGAATACAAGCAGGAAGAGGCCTTGCTCTGGCACATAAACAGAGGATTGGGTTCCCCAAGTCCTTTTCTCATCAAAAACTGAAGAATGGAATATTCTCTCTCTGTGTGTCCACGGACAAATCTATAGTCTCAATGCTGTCGCTCATATTGTTACTGAATGCTTTACATTCAGAAGGCTGACCCCTGACCTTCATTGGGATTGACAGATCCATAGTATACTGAGAGGCTCATCTGTCAGATGATTAAAACAAAGTAGCAGCACAACAAAGTTGAACCAACATGAGATAAACCTCCGGCAGAAGCAGCCATATGTGCCCACAGCATATAATGCATAATGCAAGAGATGCACTGAAAAGACAAATATGCCGATGGAAAGTGTATATAAATACAGAAATAAAGTAAACAACACATGCCGCAAATATTCATGAGAAGCAACGGTGTGTGCGGCATTGTTAAGACACGGCATCTGTGCTACCTGCGTTATCAATGTAATGTGTGAGCCGGGAATCACACATCTGTGGGAGTGAGAAAGAAGAGTCATGCATTGACGTGGGAGAGAGAGAGAGAGAGAGGGGACTGCAGTTCCACTGTGAGCAATGGTAGCTCACAGCAGCAGAGGCAAAAGGACAGAGCCCAGTTGGAAACAGCACCAATATGTGTGTGTGTGTGTGTGTGTGAATATGCTTAATATATGAATGTGTGTGTTCACCTGCAGCCACTAGGTGCTGCCAGAGACCTACTCACAGCCTTGGACCCAGACACATACAGTGACAGAATGCACTCGCACCAAGAAAGGCTGTAATTTAAAAAGTGAAATATCATGAGACGAACTGAGAAGACAAAAAAAGAATTTACTGCCCCGTAGCACAAAATGATTTACACAATCTCCAGGGTTTTAGGGGGTTTTCATTGCTGCCAATGGCTGTTAACTGTTCCGATGTTCTTCAAACAAACATCTTTTTTTAAATTAGTGCAATATAACATTACATTAAGACATACACACAGACAACTATAGTAACACACACATACAAATATATAAAATAAAGTTGCATAACTGAAAACACTGTTTGATTGTGTGTGACAAATGTCTCATGGAGATAATGACTAATAATAACAACATAAGTTAACACACCGTTTAAACAAACTGTAAACACCAAGCTGCTTTAAAAAGGTGCAAGATCACAGATTTGGAGAATTTCTATCGCCTCTCAGCTGCTCTCAACATGTCGACGGCGAGCCCGTGGCTCATAGATAACAGCGCTAACAGCGCTAACTACGGCGTCATTGCCGACAGAGCCGACGGTGGGAACCGGAGGCTGGGTGCTACGGCTGAAGCAGCGGCACGTTCACATGCACAAACATGAGCTAACTGTACACGTGGGCGGCACGGCTACGTCAACACAGCAAGGGGACGCTCGAGTAACTTCATTCTCTGCTTAGATAAACATCACTTCACACAGATAATAGCTTTTTGCTGCTACATTAATGTTAAATACAGCTCCTTTGAGTATTTTGCCATCTAAATAACACATTTCTGTTGGATATCCACACTAATGTGCAAGCTTTCTTGTGACTATTGTAGAGAATGTCACTTTAATGCGTGAGTCAATTAAAGGCCGCCATATTTCAATAGGATAATAAGGCTCGGGGCTGTGCCAAAGGCTTGTGCTGGAGAAGTTCTGTTGATGCTGTAGTTCATACATTTGTGACTAATTCTGTCCTAACGAGCTGAGTTTAGTGAAGCTACGATCTGATGAGCTGTATTCTCAAACCCACAGAGCTACTCTGTCCTTGCACATCACAGGGAAAACAAAGAGTGTGTTCTTGTTTAAGGTAAAGATAAAGAAGGAAATGATGTGAAGCTCGATAACTTATTTAAATCCCTTTCTGTGGTCGTGACATTAACTTGATCCATTCGCTCTCTACTTTGGTTTCAATAAAAGTGAGACTGAGCGACTTTTTGTGGAAGAAATTACTTCTTGTAATGGAAATAACAGAGTCTTTCTTTGACAAATGAATAGTTGACTTCATAACTAATAAAACACCCTTTGCTTGATTTAGACCATGAGACAGTTTGCTGACTCTATGACTCTTCTCTACTTGTGCTACGTGTTCCGCTATGTTTTAGTATTTTACCATCGGACTCTTTTTCACAGACACTTTGACGCCATAGCAGCAAAAGCACAGGTTTTACTAATCACATTAACAATGGCTCCCAGTAAGCCGTGACAGGTGACAACGAGCCAGAATGCACAGTAATTCTACCGTCATTAATGTTAATATTTACACCATTGCTTTCGTACTGTGATGCGTTTTCATCAAAATGACGGCAGTTTATTCTCTATGGGTTTCTGACAAACGCATAAAGGTTCGTACTGCTCAAAAAAATCTGAATAGCAGACTTTTTAAATCAGCTAAATAATTTTTGTCGGTGACACAACAAATACTTCTGACACCTACTAAGTCATCCAGTTAAACTGTCTGTTTCACCGCTCTAAATGAATGCACCGGCCACATTAAATGAAATCTCATTTATAACAATGAGGGTAGTCCTTCGGTGCCTCGTCCTCTGGACACCACGGGGCGGTGACTAGAACACACAAGCTGCAAGAAGCAAGTTACACCTCTGAACTCACTGACACGTGTAATAGCGCAGGAGTCGTCTCTCACATCCCGTCTGCTGTTCAACTCGCTACTTCAGGCTGCAGTACACATGGCTTCTCATGTGCTCCTGAAAATATTGATATTCATTTTAGGACAATGACATGGCTGGATAGCCAGCTGGTCTTGTTGCTAAACATACTGTCAGATTATATTTACTGTTCGTCAACGGTACGCGATGTCATTGACTTTGAATCTTGCTGCATAATGGACTAACGGCATCCACATTATCCACTAATTCATGATAATGGACGCCTCGTCAGCCATTACTACTTATACAGAGGAAAAACTGTTTATATCACTGAATAGGAAATAACAGAGGCACTATTCCTTTTTACAAAATGACAGAAATTCAACTGGCTTGTGTCTCCCCAGTTACCTTAAATAACTGGTGTAAAAACATTTTCTTTCATCACTAAATGTCATCATGCTTGCTCTAACTTGGATTGTTAATCCTTATAATATTCAGCACCAAACAGTTGGGTTTTCCCCTTCAGCCAAAGACGGCCGAGGCCTGCTCTTCCCGCCTTCACCCCGTGTGTCAGACATCAAATGCTTCTCATTTGAACGCTGAGAGAGATAATCCTGAACGGTGCCGACGCTTTTCCTTTGACGTGCTCGCCAGCCATTAATCAGAGTTTTCTTGTTTCTGATGTCTAGAATCCTGTTTCAGAGACACACAAACACTACAGCTCAGTATATTAGATTTACAGAGCGTCTCTGACGTTGAGAGTTCATATTATATATAACCGCATCTAGTCATTCAGATTTTCATTTTCTCTTCAATATTTAGCATGACTCTGTATGTATATGGACATGAATATGTGTTTATGTGTGCATGACCTGCAGCAGACGGCTATTTAAGCTACGATGACACCGTCAGGACTGAAAGAGCCATTTCAACCATACTACTGGACCTAGCGTGTCTTTTTTTAATTAAGGTGGGAGAATTATGGCCGGATCACCTTGTAAGGAGAAAACAGCCACCACAGTTTGAGAGACAAGCTGGGGAACGGATCCGTAAATCAATAGGCCAGGGAACAGAGCCAATGCACTCACCTTTCCCCCCCCCCCCCGGACCCTGAGGGCTATTCAAGAGGATCCCCCCCATAGTGTCAGACAGCATCTTCACAGAGCAATATGTTCACACTGTGGCCAAAGGGGGCAGTACAGTTCTTTGTCATGTATATCTCTTCCTTTCAATGCCCTAAACATGTGTGTGTGTGTGTGTGTGTCGACATACATTCTGTGTTAATTCTCATTCGCAATGTATGAATATAAGTGCTCAGTTTGACTCTGTATCAGCCCGTACTTCAAGGAACCCTATCAGCTAATTCAGCCCTATCAGCATCTACACAACATGGCCCTTCTCCACATATGGGAATACATAACTCTCCACCAATGTAATCAACCCAGGCCTGTTTAAAAAGAGCCTTCCCAATTAAAAGTGTTCCAGTTAATCCATTCTGATCCCGTTGAAGAGCGCTGGGCCGCTCTCACTGCCCGGCGGTCAGCCTAGCAAGCTGAGCTGATTGATTCTGAACCAATCTTCTCCACAAGACTGCGGCCCAGGATGTAACGACCCACAGCTAAAGCTTGGATTAGGCCCGGGCCAGGAAAACGCGGTTGGCCCAACCACCAGCAGTGACCTTCTGTACTCAGCCTTTTTGTGAGTCAGGTTGCATTACATGGTGTAGTATGAGGAACACGTGGCGACTAATTAAGGGTTCTGTTTTGATACTTTGCCAATCCGGTCGCTTCTGTGGTGACGCGTTTCAGGAGTTGTGAGCTCACTCTTCAGCCGCATGGTCAATCGGCAAACATGAAGATTGATGAAATTGTGCAAATTATATTTGTGTGCAGTGGTAACTTGTGGGATTGAAGTTGAAGCCACACATCTGTGCTCGTTACAGCTTCAGTTTTGGTTCAGGTGCAAAGTTGTTTCAGACAGAAAAGTCCCTAAATTATAGACCTACATGAAATTAGCTTTTGTTCGACAGGAGAATAGTGAAAACAATGTCACACATTCTTAAGGGATGGTGATCGTTATGCTTTGCTTAATGTAGGTCTCACACTTTCCACTCACACTCTCAACAGCCATGTTCATACTGTAGTGCCTCGGTGCACAGTTGGGTTCTAGAAACAGCTTACGTGCCCTGACCTACAAACCATATTAGCGAAGTGCGTGAGGACATACAGTATGAAGTGCTAACACACACACACACACACACACACACACACACACACACACACACACCTGAGCAGGTTTCATTAGCATATACAGGTGAAAGGTGAGCCAATCAGTGCATCTCTACTGTTATTCTGGCTGGCGCTAATGACGGGTGCGGCACAATGTGACACGTATGAGAAATGCACTGCTGTTCTTACTGGGACACGGGGCCACAATGAAGACGGATAGGCTCCAGAGAGCACAGCAGCAATAATACAATGGCTCCAAAGTTCAACACAAGAAGGGAAAGATGTGCTTTAAATCCTGCAGCACTTGTGCTGTTTACCAATTACACTACAAAGTGATAATATATACTTTCACTTTAAAAAATGGCAAATAAATATATAAAAAAATAGATAGAACTGGCGATATTATCAGTCATTTGTTAGTGTTTGTATGCTTTATTCCATTGAAGTTGGAGATAGTGGCCACATGGGTTGTGACTGTGGGGCTAACCGTCAGGAGGGTCACAGTGATAACCAGAGTTGCAGGAGAAGAGATATCTAAAGGTAAATAAAATCACTGATATTTAAAATAAATAGATATTGAATTAGAGATTGCCGGGACCAGAGTCTGTTTGCATGATGCCTACATTGGTGTTGGAGATGCTGGTTACCTCTACATAAAGATGTATGTGCTATCTGAAGGCAAAGCACTCATCAAGACGAGTGACTAGAGGTGTGAACTTGGTTTTAAATTCTAGCTTTAGGGCAAAGTCATTATCCAGCAACACCAAATCCTCATCAGGGTCTAGTCCTGTCAATCCAGGCTCGATGGAGGTCAATGGTCCATGTTTACCGAGGGAGATGATGCGCATTGTGTAATGTGTGAGTGTCTGTGGGGGCCTGGCGTGCTAAGGGGGTCAGCCAGGCTAAACCTAGATTTCTGTGTGTGTGTGTGTGGGAGCGTATTTCTACCTTCAAGGCGGACCACCAGCGGCACCTTGAGCTCCAGCTCTCGACAAGCCTTCGTGATACCGTTGGCGATGATGGCACAGTTGACGATTCCACCAAAGATGTTGACTAGAATGGCCTCAACCTGTGAAAGAAGAGAATTAAAAAAAAAAAAAAAAAAAGGATTAAATCCAGTGGCGGGGACTCACCTGTGAACAAAAGCAAAATGGCATTTTGCAAAGAATGTACATTTGTTAGGTCAAACTTTCATTATGATGGGTTAACAAGGTTTGTCCAAGCTGAAGCACAAAACAGTCAACCATTGACGAATCCTTTGTAAAGCTATTCATATACTTTGTCTGATACAGCTGGAAACACATCGGTGCAAAACTAATTGTTTCAAGATTGAAATCTCTTGACAGAGTAAAACATTTAATAAAGCAGCCTCAGCACCTTTGTGTACAATATGTGGTGCACCAAGAGGCTATACAACACTGTCACACAGGCAGAATAAAGTAATATATGTTGAAGTTAAGAGGGCAGCAGCGAGTGAAAAAGGAAAAATCGGGGCCAAATAATAAAGCAATATTTCAATGGGAAGTGGTGACAAATGGAGGAAGCTGCACACCTGGCTTGTTTTCAAACGTTCTAATGTGGCAAAGCCATGCGTCATATTAGGCCTTTAAAACTGTGCGGCATAAAACTCATTCCTTTCCTCTTAATAGAATATAAAACATGAATTCGCAGAGAGCAAATGTCTTCTCAGAGTTTTATTGCAATAAACAGATGCGGATCTCCCAGCTTGAAGGAGATGAACTTCAGTATAAATATGTAGAAGTCATTCAAAGGATGACATACATATTTCCACCCTTGGCAGATGTCCTTAAACACAGTGTTTTGTCTGTGCATTCACAACCTTATATCTCCAGAGTGTCTTTCTTCCTCTGTCTGCTGGGAATCAAAAGTTGCCGATAACATTGGTTGGGAAGGCGAAGGTTGAATCCCACGGGGAACAGAAAGAGACGAGGTCTTAGGCAGTGTCGAGCTCATACAAGATAGATCCCACATTCCCTGAGCAGCTATCAAGAACAAACTTGTGAGTTTTGAACACGCCAAGTCGTGCCAAACAATCTCACCGTCTGTGCAGTGTCCCCTTCAGCTGTCGTGAAGTTTCTTTGCAAACGATATCTTGACTTTCTTACAAAATGAGCATGAAGCTGATATCAGTAAGTAGTGAAGCAAGGCAGCTAGTGTGTGTGTGTGTGTGTGTGCGCAATTACACTAACAATCTAGCACTTGGTAATTACCCTGGCTAGCACAGTGGAAAAGTAGACTGAGAGCACACAGGATTAATCCTCCATGTTTGTTTATAATCACTGCTAATCTGTTCGTGCCGATTTGGATGAGCAGCTCGTGGGTGTTTGTGTGTGCCCGTCGTGAAACGTGTATGTTTTCAGTGTGTGGTAATGATGTTTAGAGGGAGAGGAGATCAAGGACTTGGATAGCTATCAGAGCGACAGCCACGGCTTTGTCCTCTACGTGCTATCCAAAATGAGCATCTCCTCATAAACAAGACCAGCAGAGAGTTCCAACACAAACACAGATGTAGGCAGCAGCATAAAGACTCAGAACGTCATGCAAAGAAGATGAGCCAACTGTTAGGTCAACACAGAGAACTGATGAAGTATATATCGCTCAGGTGTGTGACCAGGAATCCAAAAAACAACAAGGGGAAAGGGAGACAGTCCCAAACTGTAGATGAACACGACTCAGATGGTTCAAATGAAAAACATAATGAATCCCGACCTCCAGATTACTCCTGTAATAGTACATGATGAGGCGCTCTAATGGAGTTAAATAATGGATGAGGCTTCTATCGCAGAGCACAACATGTTCTCACTGATACAATGGCCATTTACACAGGACAAAAGATACAGCACGGTCTGTGTCCATTCGGACAAATCACTAAAGCCTTCAACAGAATTAGGTTTGAAGTTTCTAATTGTTGCATCATTTTTTGATAATATGGGAGTCATTGTTTAAGAAAAAAGTATATTTTGTATTAGTGCGTAACTGTGTGTTATTTTTAGCCTTGTAAAAGGGTCCCTGCAGCAATTTAGTGTTGCACTGTCAACAAGTTGGGGAAATAAAAAGTGACTGGTTAATAAAAGAAGCTTCAGGGGCCAAGAGATCCTGATTTTTAGTCATTTGTAACACTGGCTCCTCCATTTTCCACAATGCAACTCAAAAGTGTCTTTTGTTGGACACTCCGTCTGGTAAATGCCTCCACTTTTCAAACTCCACTTCGGGCATTTTTTTTTATTAATTCACGAGCCCAATCAAAGATAAGCCTGATGACATCAACAGTGTTTCTTAGACTGTGGAAAACTTCCTTTTAAAAAGACATGGCTTACGCTATATACATATACACACATACATATATATACATACATACACATATACACACACATATATATATACATATACACATACATACATATATATACATACATACATACAGTTGTGTGAAAATGTTTGCCAATGTTCTGGCCAATGTTACAAAAGAATTTCTGCAGCACTCAAGGTTCCTAAGAGCACAGTGGCCTCCATAATCCTTAAATGGAAGAAGTTTGGGACGACCAGAACTCTTCCTAGACCTGGCCGTCCAGCCAAACTGAGCAATCGTGGAAGAAGAGCCTTGGTGAGAGAGGTAAAGAAGAACCCAAAGATCACTGTGGCTGAGCTCCAGAGATGCAGTAGGGAGATGGGAGAAAGTTCCACAAAGTCAACTATCACTGCAGCCCTCCACCAGTCGGGGCTTTATGGCAGAGTGGCCCGACGGAAGCCTCTCCTCAGTGCAAGACATATGAAAGCCCGCATAGAGTTTGCCAAAAAACACATGAAGGACTCCCAGACTATGAGAAATAAGATTCTCTGGTCTGATGAGACCAAGATTGAACTTTTTGGCGTTAATTCTAAGCGGTATGTGTGGAGAAAACCAGGCACTGCTCATCACCTGCCCAATACAATCCCAACAGTGAAACATGGTGGTGGCAGCATCATGCTATGGGGGTGTTTTTCAGCTGCAGGGACAGGACGACTGGTTGTAATTGAAGGAAAGATGAATGCGGCCAAGTACAGAGATATCCTGGAAGAAAACCTCTTCCAGAGTGCTCTGGACCTCAGACTGGGCCGAAGGTTCACCTTCCAACAAGACAATGACCCTAAGCACACAGCTAAAATAACAAAGGAGTGGCTTTGGAACAACTCTGTGACCATTCTTGACTGGCCCAGCCAGAGCCCTGACCTAAACCCAATTGAGCATCTCTGGAGAGACCTGAAAATGGCTGTCCACCAACGTTCACCATCCAACCTGACGGAACTGGAGAGGATCTGCAAGGAAGAATGGCAGAGGATCCCCAAATCCAGGTGTGAAAAGGTTGTTTCATCATTCCCAAGAAGACTCATGGCTGTACTAGCTCAAAAGGGTGCTTCTACTCAATACTGAGCAAAGGGTCTGAATACTTATGACCATGTGATATTTCAGTTTTTCTTTTTTAATAAATTTGCAAAAATTTCTACATTTCTGTTTTTTTCTGTCAAGATGGGGTGCTGAGTGTACATTAATGAGAAATAAAATGAACTTTTTTGATTTTAGCAAATGGCTGCAATGAAACAAAGAGTGAAAAATTTAAAGGGGTCTGAATACTTTCCGTACACACACACGCACACACACCCACCCTCAGGATGTTCAGCACTCCTTGTGACAATTAAACTGATCTTCATGCGTAAAATTGCAGGAGCGACCCTTTAATGTACAGTAGGTATCGCATATAAAAGGACAAGTGGAGCCTCAAGGTAGCCATCTCTGTCTCTGGGACTGACCAAACTACTGATGGGAATCTGCGACCGTCACACATTCACCACACACTCATGTGTACGACCCGCACGCACGTGATGACCGGCAAACATGCAAGTCGGTGATCATAGCTTTCAGGTGCAAAGCCAGATGTACACACACACACTCTACGACAGAGAAGCTCTACGACAGAGAACAATATGCGGTCAAAACAAAAGCTACATTCACACACTTTTTAAAATAAAACTACAGTAGAACTCAATGGGCGGCATACATTTTGTGAAGAGTGGCAGACGAGAGTTCAGCAGTTGGAGAAAAGCAAACGGAAAGAAAGAGGTGTGAAATGTAAACGGGTCACTGGTTGTCAAACCTCAGCCGTGTCTCAAACACTCTTCTGACAGCATGTTTTATCTGCAGTTCACACATTTATGTGTGTCCATCTTTGCTGATGCCTCTGGGCATACATAGGAGTGTGTGTTGCCCCACTGTCCTGTGCAGGTGTGGCCCACAGCAGGGGCACAGGTTCAACATTGCCTCTGCCACTATAAATTTGTACACAGTCACTTTAAAAAGACACGAAGGAGAGATGCGCATCTGGATATTACTGACCAAACCTCTGAGCTTGAGTCTGTAACATTGCTCCTCGTGTTAGACAGTTGACACTGAGCCACAGCAACATGGGGCATCTTTTATGATACCAATGTACTTGATACATAATGATGACAGTACAACATAGGGTTTAGGGTGGAGGAGACTTCACACACCGTAACACAGGGTTTGACTCAGGGTCTCATAAACACACAGTTTAATCTGGCCCCCACTGGGGGGCAGCAGAGATTTAGATGCCTTTTTGCAGCCTCACGAGAGAAGGCTCTATTCTTGCCCCATTTGCAGCCCATTTCTCAACTCTGTCTCTATTGGGAAGAACCATTTTTCTTCCATTCATGCGTCTCCTATTGACACCCATGTATATTAATGATACGTAAGACATGATTTATGTCGCTTGGCAAAGAAGTAAAAGCTGTTTATAGAAATATGAATGTTGCAAGGAGGACCGAGTTGCACTCTGCTCTCAGTTAGTTGCGTTTTTCTTATAATTTCTCTTGGTTACAAGCAAGTGAACAGCCCAAGGAACATTACTGACCCCGTAAAAACCGACAACAAGCATACATCTAATATTAAAGTTCTACCACTTCTGCCTATTCCAAGTAAAGACTACAGATCCAGAGTTACAACACCACACACAGATAATGTGCTTAACTACTGTGTGCCCGGAGGGGAAACAG